TGTCGCCAAGTGCTTGCTCAAGGGGGATTTGTTGGATTTTCCCTATGTAATAATATTGATAACAGTAAGGTCTAGACCTTACTTTGTAAAGTGTCCTGAGATGGCTTTTGTTGTGATTTGGCACTATACAAAAAAAATGTGATTGATTTGATTGATACTGAATCTTAGGAGCAGTTTATTTTTCCTGACAAACACAAACAATACAATTTAAAAGCTGTTTATTCTGCAAGTCGTCTTAGAACAAACCATACACCTGTATCAATCTCATCCACCACTGTCTCCCCCTTGTTTTCTACAGAGCCCAGTTACAGAGGCAAGGGCATTGGGAAGGAGGTGACACACATGATGATGTGCTACAGTGAGCATCTGATCCCATCTTTCAGAAGGTTTAAAGCAGGAAAACAGAAGCTTAAAGTCACTGTGTAGAAGTTTAAATTTTCCACACTTCTTAAATTACTGCCCATTTTTCTGCAATTCAGTCTTGTGCCGTGTTCATCATTAGTTGGAGAATCAACCTGTGGTGGAGCAGGAAAAATAATAAATGAGAATGCAGACAGCAGTGGATGAGATTGATGCAAGTGTACGGTTTGTTGTAAGACTGAAAGCAGCAGAACATTCTTACATGTATCTCTGTACAGTATTTATTTGAAACCCCTCTATTCATACTAAATATTAGTGGTTTTAGATTTTATTTAAAAAATAAATGGTAGAAAAAGGCACAGTTTTGCCTAAAACATGTCTTGTAACTTTTCTTTTTCCTACACTGTGTGCACAGATTATTAGGCAAGTGAGTATTTTGACCATATTATTATTATTATTATGCATATCTTCCAACTCCAAGCTGTATAAACTTGAATGATTATTGATTTAAGCATATCAGGTGATGTGTATTTGTGTAATGAGCAACGTTGCAGCCTAAGGAGATTAACACCCTATTTTAAGGTGTGCATAATTATTAGGCAGCTTTGTTTTGGCAAAATGGGCCAAAAAAATGTATACTTAACTGACTGTGAAAAGTCAACCTTTGTAAGAAGTCTTTGAGAGGGAGCGGCACTCTTGAAATTGCAGAGACAAGCTAAAGATATTGAAGCGTGATCACAGAACCATCAAAAGTTTTGTTGCAAACAGTCAACAGGGTCGCAAGAAACGTGATGAGGCAAAAGGATGCAAATAAACTGCCAAAGATTGGAGAAGAATCAAACATGAAGCTACCAGGAACCCATCATCCTCCAGTGCCGTCATATTCCAGAACTGTAACCTACCTGGAGTGCCCAGAAGTACTAGGTGTTCAGTGCGTAGAGACATGGCCAAGGTAAGGGAGGCTGAACCCCGACCACCACTGAACAAGACACAGACGTTTAAACATCAAGACTGGGCCAAGAAATATCTGAAGACAGATTTTTCAAAGGTTTTTATGGACTGATGAGATGAGTGACTCCTGACGGACCTGATGGATGGTTCCGGGGCTGGATCAGTAACGGGTACAGAGCTCCACTTAAGAGTCAGACGCCAGCGAGGTGCAGGCGGGGTCCTGGTATGGGCTGGTATTATTAAAGATGAGCTAGTTGGACCTTTTCGGGTTGAAGATGGTCTCAAAATAATTTTTAAGTTTTGAGTTTGTTTATTATTAACTGATGAAAATAAACAAGTGCGATGGGAAATTTTTCATTTAGTTGCATAATAATTCTGCACACTAACAGTTGCCCAATAATTGTGCACACATAGACATTCTCCTAAGAAAGCCAAAACCTCACTTTTACTTTCTTAAATATTTAGGTTTGAGGTTTATTTTGGATTGACCAAGAGCACTGTAGTTGTTCAATAACAAAATTAATCCTCAAAAATACAACTTGCCTAATAATTGTGCACACAGTGTATTATCACAAAGTGCTGCAGAACTGCATGCAGAACCTGAACTAGTACAGCAGTTTCACACAGGCGGCTGGGCAAAGGCAAATGGCTTCTTACAAAAACATCTGTAAAATGTCAAATTCATATTACCCTGTTGTGTTCTAAAAATAAATAATAAAAAATACAAGATTAGTCTGAACCAGAACATTTGTTTACAACACTGAAAAACATTAACCTTGAATCACTCTGTGTATTAGTCCAGCTCAAGCACAGCAGAGGCTGCAAATAGAAAGGGAGTGGGGTTCTTGCAGATAAACTTGTGACACTTAACAGCAGGTGCCTCCAATTCTCTTTTTTGTGCACAAGTGTCACTGCCGTCTGTCCTTGACTTTGCTCCTCAGAGGGGCCTGCAGCAGCACCACCACCCTGCAGTTCCATGACAAGATCTGCAGCGGTTGTAGTCTACAATCATCACTGGCGTCTTCTTCTGTCCCCCGCCAACATCGTGAACACGGTGCTTGGTACTGAGCAGCAGCACATTCCTGCCCCGTCGTGATATGTAGGAGAGAGGGTGTGCAGTTTTTGCTTCTCATCTTGAATTGTTTATAAAATAGATTGCGGCCTTGTAAGAGAAAGGCCTTATGAAGTCGGACACGCACACATGCATGCACGTACGGACGGACACAGAGACACACGCAAACACACAACTCATGGAGTGCACATGAGCAAATCCGAGCGGCGTCAGCCATGCACGAATGCGCCACAACCTACGTGGTTGGCTTTATGCAGCGAGAAGTACTTAGGCGCGTGCACATCCGAACACGGGCATAAACACAGTTACAAAAGTGCAAGCACACACACGCGCACACACACAAATCATATTGATATGACACACAATAGTGGTACACACTTTATCATTTTCGGTGATTTTAGCATGTCACCCTTGCAAAAACGGTGAAAAATAGTGAAATTTAGATGAATTGCAGGGTTTGAAAATGGTCTCGCGTCACCATCTGCTGGTCAACTATTAAAATTGCATTTTGAGACCCTCGTTTTAAATTGTATATTTCTTCAGGGCATTGAAATATGACATGATACGATATATTTGGCATAAAAAAGCATTTTTAATGGTTTTTAACGGTGAGTAACAGTAACCTAGGTACATATGTGTGACTATTTTTTATTTTAGCCATTTTAGGCAAATACAAGGAAGTGAGACCTCAATTTTTAAGTTTTTAAAAAATAAATAACCTGCAGCAAATTTGAGCTACATTCATTCAACACAGTCAAAATGGCTTGAAAAATAAAACACATTTTATCACCAGTCTAAGTCCACGGGAGGGTTAAACATAGATAGTAAAGAAATGACATTCAAACACTCATCACTAAAGATATCAGCAGAGGAAAATAAAAGATAAAAGTGACAGGCTTCCCATGTGACTGATCAGGTGTTAATGTTAACGTTACCTGGACACGTGGTTTGCATTGTAAGGAACTAGGAACCTCCAGTAGAGTGTTCTCGTTTATCTTCATGGTGCCAAACCAGGCACAAACACCAATAAAACTGATAACAATAAACTAAATTCAACCCTTGTACGTCCCATTAACATGACAGCTGGAAACCGAATCACAAGGTGGAGACAATTGTTCCCATGGATGTATTAAGAAGAAAATGTAGGAGGTTTTTCAATGTTTGTATTGTGAGAATGTTTTTTCATAACGTTAATAAATTCATGTATTCTATTTATTTCCCCCACTGAATGTTGCTCGCCTGGTGCACAGGGGGGCAAATTTGTTTTTCTTCCGGGTTTCTTCCACATTCTGGGGTCCACTGCACATGCGCACTGGGGGGCGGTGGGGGACAGCGACCGAACTTTCTCAGGATCCAGCGTGGAAACATCTGCCGTGCACAGACCGACAAAGTAATAACCACATGCAAATAAACATACCTTTCATCTAGACACGCATTTATTAGCAGATGGAAATCGCCTCGAGGCGTTTTACAAACGAACACATTTATTAGCACTTTTATTCTATTATTTCAGACTCTGTGTATGTACATGCACATGTGTCTGTGGATCTGTTCATGTTTGGTTTTTTAAATGTATGAATATCACTGTGTCAGTGTTTCGGATCTTATCGGCAGCGATATTAGGGGAGGCATGGAAATTAAAAGTTTCCCTGACAGAGGGGGTATTTTATTCCAACAGTTTTTCCAGAATACTGATTCTAGGAAAGTTAACTTATATGCAAAACATCTTTTACTGCAAACATTTACTAGGTTAATTTCCTCAAGTCATATCAGTGCAAAGTCAACATGATGAGGTGAATTTAGGTATCATTATAGCCACACACCCCATGAGTGTATGTGCTTGTTGTGCCACAGAGAGATTTTTTTTAGGACATCCAGCATTTACCTTTTTTGTTAGATTTAGAACAATGTTTTGTACTTTTAGGTTAGAAAATGTCTAAAAGATGACAAGCTGCTATAGTAAGTATGACAGTAGCTTTGTCAGGGCTATATTGTGTTTTTGAGAAATATAAAATTTCATTGCTAATGCTGCTCACATCTTAATCAGGTTGTAGCTACATGTTTTAAACATAAGGTACCCTTGAAAATTGTGCTTGTATTAAAAATCCGGGTTATACCTTTCACAAACCTGTTGCACAATGCACGAATACTACATTATTCTTATATTGTTAAATAAAACCCAGGAAAAGTCAGTTAACAAAACACTGGAAAGGGCCGATCTCAAGCTGCAAATAAACATCCTCACTGCAATTTTCCTTATGTGTACACACACACACACACACACGTTTTCTTTGCACGCTTGAAATCTGGACCCTAAAACCTTCACATTCAAAACTACACTCAGGTTTCCTTAATTTCAACCCATCCCATGCTTTAAAATGAGTTTAAATGAGATGGTATTGATGTTTGCCGACTTAAAGGGCAGGTTTACAATTTTAACAGTACTGTAACTACTATAACCTAGATATGAGGTCTGAGCATCACACATTTTGAAAGTTACCTAATGGCATTAAACCCTGTTGAAAAAAAGCCGTTTTATATTTCTTAAAACCAATTTTTCCTGTAATCTAATTTTACAAAAATGAACATCACACAACATGTGGAAAACCTCAAGGGAAGTACAAAATGTTTATATAGCACTGTATATGACAATATGTAATTTCACATCTGTAGCAAAGACACACTTTACCTTGGATACTTGGAGTCAGGCATAGTGGGTTAAAATCTCTAAGCTACCACTGCAGACAGTAAGGTGCAATCTTTAGCATTGATGACAAAGCTCAACTGAGTTTTAAGCCATTTGTTTCTCAAATAAAATGCTTCTTAGGTGACCTGCATCAAGGAAAAATGCCCTTGAAATTACAGCAGTGGGATGAGCCAAGCCTGAGGATCTGATTGTCGTAGCTTTGGAGAAAGGTGTGATTTGGTTTCCTGTTTCTGAAGGGCTAACTAAAGATGAGACCAATTCATTTTCAATCTAAAATGAAACCTGAAGCTTCGTTTTATATATTTGACAGGCTAATTGGTGTTTCACAACTTAAATTGTAAGAAAAACAGTTAAACTTTTTTTCTATTCTGAACAAGATTAAAATGTCAAATGAAGTGAAACAAGAGTGCATTACCACCAACACTCTTTTCAAACCGTTTATGAGAAAATCAAGCTCTAATCTAACAATCCGTGTGCCTGCCAGGACAGAACAAAGCAAACACATTTTGCTGTTGCAGTGTATATATTCATCTGTTGATACAGAACTGGACTGGCGATCCATTTTAGGACAAAAACTCTGACCTGTAACCCACTCACAAATTGGCAGCGAACATTTGAAAACAGAACAAAACATTCACTACAAAAATCACAAAAGCAGTTATGAACTTAAAACGTTGACAGCAGTAAAACAAAATTTGCAAACTTATTTACATTGATCACTTACTAAAACAGAAACATACAAGAGCCATAGTCTCCTACCCCATGGTGCTAAATGCTGACTGAACCAGTCACAAAAAAGGATTTTCTGTCTCAGCCACGAAAGGTTGCAGGTGAGCAGTGTGCAGCACACCCTACTAAAGATTCAATCACGAAGACTACCTGTAACTCAGCTGTCCTTAGTAGGCCAAAGACTAGGATGGTGAAGGCATATTTTGCCAAATCCAAGAGCAAAAGAGCCATAAAATATCATGACAGTACTTCAATACAAACAGCATATTAATATTTCAATTTGGTAAAAAGTCGTGGATGTATTCCAAGTCCTTTTAAGAACAATCCATTTTCTACAAATATAGGTTTTTGTTCAGCCTCACAGAAGCTCAATGTAACTCAGGAACAACAAAAGAGCCTGAGTACTTTAAAGGATTCTGATGCTGTTTGCATTAATGCCTGTCCACTAGTGATAATCAGACCACACAATACAATTCATGTGTCAGCACTGAAGATGCCGTAGCAACTCTCTAATAACTCGCCTCTGCCTGAGGTTTTACACACTTTTATAGTCTGTCAGCACCTCATTTAGGTTTGTAAACAACATATAAGGTAGGACTATGGCTTCACTGTCATTAAAAAAAAAAGATCACTGCATGCTAAAGACCTACTTTGAAAAATAGTCCTTGTGGCGTGTTTCTGTGCTGAACTACCAACCTTGAGCTGAGCCGACACCTGGGTGTCATCACAGCTCATCGCCCCATCAGGGCGTAGCATCAGAAAGCCCTAAACAAACCAAGAAATTATCTGTTGCCTCTTCAGTGAGAAAGGTTTACACTCAAAACAGCTGTCACAATTTTTCAACTTGCATTTTAATGGTCAGGGCTGAGGTGTCATACTAAGCCTACTTTTAATAACGATGATAAAAACTACTGTAAATACTGCCTCCATGTCAAATGGTAGAAACTAGTATTTGATCTCTGTGTTGTCATTCCCCATGACATCTTTAAAGAACTGCCTGTCACTATGGTCACTGATGTACCAGTTTGCCCAGCATTACCTTGATACAGCTCCTTCGACTTAAGCTGTAGAAGAAATGTCACTCTATGATGCTGATAAATGACAGGAAAGACAACATTTTTACAATATGGAGTGGGTTAATGTTCAGTATTTCACTAAGTGTTTGTTGTTGTGGCTGTTTTGAGTGCACCTATCATCTTTTTCACTTCATAAACATCTTAAGCTTGTGCACTTAAGAAGCTTTTCATGTGTGGTCTGACACATTTTGACAGCTCAGTAACAGATTAAAGTTAAATCAACTCCATTTCGCAAAACAGCGACAAAACAAACTACACATTAGGATTGGGAGGTGGGATGTCTTAATAGTAATACAATGACTATGTCTGAAAGACTGTTTGGTTGTTTTTAAATCACCAAAATAAGTGCATTTACATGTCTGCAGCAAGAGGATGCAATTCTTCCAACATGATGCACATATTTAACCTCTAACAGTATAATTTGTTACAGTGGAGTCGGCAATATGGGGCTTCATTTAGCGACAGCCTGCACAGTGTTCTTTCCCTGCACCTCTGTGTTCAGTGTATGATCTGTTTAATAATGGCTTTGTAATCCAGTGTTTGCACCGAGCTAAACTGTTGAGTACACAGCTCTTGCCAGTTAAAGTGGTAATGGTGGCCGATAGGAAGTGTCTGCCTTATCCCCCAATCTTAATATGTACGGTGATGTGGTGGCACACAACAAATTTATGAAAGCAAGGACACAGGGCCAAAGATATTCAAACATTATGGCCTTGCATCAAACTGGGGCATCATTAAAACTACCTCCTCCACAGCCTGGCCAAACTATATTGTTTGGCTCCAGGTTATAAACTGTAGAGTCCAATCTGAGTTCAATCCAAACTTCAAGAACTTGTAATCACAGAAAATTCGGAGCCTCTTCTCAAAAGACGAAATGAATTCCACTTTTGGTCCCATTCTACTTTCTGAATTTCATCGTCAGCCTCTGAAAAGCTGGAGAGACGGTTAAGGATTCAGATTCCTTGCAGTCCAGGGCAGCTGGCTGGCTTCCGTGTATGGTGGTGGCTTAGACTACTCACATTCAACGATCTTCAAGGCAGGGGCGGTCATTTGTGAAATAAGTAGATTGGCCTCTGAAAACCTGTCATGATGGAGGGAGAGTTGAAAATCGTATCAAGTTGCAATGTAAAAGAACAAGTGGAGCACAGATTTGTACAAGCTGAGTTACCTCTGGCTGAACACTTAGGGGCTCCGAGATTCTCAAAACCGGTGAAGCCCACCTCAGTTACAAGGTACGATGAAAACTGGTCAGGTCTGAGGCAGATGCTGCGATAATTCCTGTTAATAGTATCCTGTCAGGTGAGAGAAAAAAACTAAATATTTCAGCAAAACAACCAAGTAAAAAAAAAAAAAAAAAATCATGGACTTCTGCCAATATCAAGGCAGATTCTCTTTAATACATAAACTCAATGTCTGAATCACAGCAGCTTTGTGGTCTCAGTTGCTTACAGTCAGCTTCTTCCTCCTCACATAGGACTCCCAGGGCTGTGGCTCCAGGAGGAACATGCCTCCGGGACGGAGATGTCTGTAGGCTCTTTTGAAGAGCCGCTTGAGGCCACTGTCTCCCCAGTTCAGGTGAACCCATTTAGTAACACTCAGGCACAGGATCATGTCGTACTCAGGTTGCTGAGTCAGGAGAAGATCATCATTGTCCAGTACATAATTGGCCTAAGGAGGAGTGGAGAAAAGCATGACCTTGACAGGACAAACACTTCTGTATAATTCAGCACTAGCATAAACACATGAGGGGTATAGGTACAGGTGAGAATCTGGACGCTGCAAGTTTCATTTTACATTAGATTTAGGTCTAAGGACAACAGAGTGCAGTGATGCACAGGTCGATCCGCTCCATTATACTTAAAAAGAAAAAAGTGATTATTCTGTGATATGGACACTAACAAGGATTAAACAAGCATTCAACACAATGACTTTTGATTCCAGCTCAATGCCCCCCAATATGCACCACATAAAAACAAAATAAATACACAATATATACAAGTTTAAAAAAAATCACAAGTTAAAAGAGCAGCATAGACTAGCTGTTCATCATTGTAATAGCCCGAGGAAAGAAACTGTCTCTGTGTCTAGATGTTTTGGTGCACAGTGACCTGTAGCGCCATCTAGAGGGGAGGAGTTCAAAGAGTTTGTATCCAGGGTGTGAGGGGTCTGCAGAAGTCTTCTCTGCTCTCTTTCTGACCCGTAAGGTGTACAGGTCCTCCATGGAGGGCAGCCTGGCACCGATGATTTGCTCTGCAGTCCTGACTGTCTGCTGGAGTCTGTTCCTGTCCTGTTTGGTTGCTGAGCCAAACCAGACAGTGATGGATGAGCAAAGAACAGACTGTGATTCCTCTGTAGAACTGAATCAACAGCTCCTGAGGCAGGTTGAACTTCCTGAGCTGAGCTGAGCAGGAAGTACATCCTCTGGTGCACCTTTTAGATGATGTTCTCCCCCTTTATCAATGACTGTACCTCAGGACCTTGGTTGTCCACTTCAGGTCCCGAGAGATTGTGGAGCCCAGGAACTTGTAGGACACTGTTACTGAAACAGTGCTGCTGAGTATAGTGAGTAGAGATAAGGTGGGGGAGCTCCTCCTACAATCCACTATCATTTCCGCTCCAGGTTGTTATGACCACACCACAGGGCCAGCTGTTCAACCTCCCATCTGCAAGACGACTCATCGCCGTCTTGGATGGGGCCGATGACTGTTGTGCCATCTGCAAACTTCATGATTTTTACAGAGGGGTTTCCTGAGGTGCACTCATTGGTAAAGAGGGAGAACAACAGCGGGGAGAGCACACATCCCTGGGGGGCACCTATGCTGATAGTCCAGGTGATGGATGTGGTCCCCAGCCTCACCTGCTGCTTCCTGTCCGTTAGAAAGTTGGTGATCCACTGACAGGTGGGGGCAGGCATGGTGAGCTGGGTTAGTTTGGAGTGGACACAGATTTTTCAGCCTTTCCAATTAACCTTCTCTTTGCTACTCTGATTTCTTTTGTCAGTGTGTTTCTGGCCTGGTTATACAGTCCTGTCCCCACTCTTTGGCATGACGGAGCCATTTGAGCTTCACTGTAAACCAAGGTTTATTGTTATTGTATGTGCAAAGAGTCTTAATGGGCGCACACACACGTCCTCACAAAAACTGATATATGATGTCACCATGTCAGTAAACACAGGAGCTACTGAGAAGAAATAGCCACATTTTACTGTTGCTCTGTGAATCTATTTGACTTCCAAATGCTGCACGATGAATGTGAATGCTTGTGTGGAAAGATTGTGTGAGAGAGAGTGTGAAATTTGGGGATTAATCAATCAGTAGATTGACAGAAATGTTTGTTTTTCTTTACTGACTTATCCGTTCAAATCCTTTATTAAGTAAAAATGCCAAACAGGTGGCTCCCAGCTTCTCACTGTTTTGGATCATTGTAAATTAAATCATGGCTGTTTAGAGAGGATCAGCAAACTGAATATGTCATGGGCCTTTGGGAACTTGCAATGGGTATTTAGTTTCTAAAAAAGAAATTACCATTCACAATAAGAAATGACTGATTAATGACTTGCAGCCCTTACATAGAAGCAGTGAGTGCTACAGCAGTTTACATCCTATCATCAGCAACATTTAATTAACTGACTGTAAAAGTTGGAAAGGGCAAAGAATCACAGCAGTCTGCGTTACAGTACAGAGACATTCATGGTTATAGTATAACCACCAGATATAGCAGCAAAAACGTAGCACGGTCATGGATTTTTGAGTGGCAGCGGAATGCTGTCATGGCGCTGACCAGGGCTGCCACAGTTAAGTGGAGAGCTTTTAACTGGCTGACGAACTGAATGAGTTTTATTGAAGGCTGAGAGGCACCTCTCTCACCTCATCTCGGACCTGCAACCACCTCTCCTCCCCTCAGGCCCCCACCTCTGAGAGTCTGTGAAAAAGATGTGCATAGCCTTTAAAAAAACAAACAAACAGGAGATCAGAAAGGCACCGGGCCCAGACAGTGTGACCCTCTCCTGCCTGAAAAGTCTGTGTTGACCAGTTGGCTCCCATTTTCACACAGATCTTCAAGAGATCACTGGAGCTTTGTGTAGTTCCCTCCTGGTTTAAATGTTCTACCATCATCCCAGTTTCCAAGAACTGGAACTCAATGACTACAGACCTGTCACCCTGACCTCCTGTGTCACCTCAGGAAGTTCAACCTGCCTCAGGAGCTGTTGATTCAGTTCTACAGAGGAATCACAGTCTGTTCTCTGCTCATCCATCACTGTCTGCTTTGGCTCAGCAACCAAACAGGACAGGAACAGACTCCAGCAGACAGTCAGGACTGCAGAGCAAATCATCGGTGCCAGGCTGCCCTCCATGGAGGACCTGTACACCTTACGGGTCAGAAAGAGAGCAGAGAAGACTTCTGCAGACCCCTCACACCCTGGATACAAACTCTTTGAACTCCTCCCCTCTAGATGGCGCTACAGGTCACTGTGCACCAAAACATCTAGACACAGAGACAGTTTCTTTCCTGGTCCATCACACTTATGAACAGTCAGTCTATGTTTAAAGGTCTGGCAGGATGATGTACACATCAGTGTGCAACAACATACAGATGTACCTTAGCTACAGTAGCTCTTTTAACTGGTTTACATGTATGTGTATACACCTTTGTCTGTTTTTTTACTTGTGGTTTTGGTTTTATTCTGTTTTTATATTGTTGTGCACATCAGGGGCCATTGGGCTGGAGTCAAATTCCTTGTATTTTTGATAATACTTGGCAATAACGTTTATGCTTATATGATTGATGCTGAATAAGAACAGATGACAGAGCTGGGGGAAATCAGGTGGAGTGTCATTTAATCCAGATTACCTTTTAAAGAGAACACAACTGAGAATAAACCTTAGGAAACTTGATAATCAGAATGTAGACATATTAAACTGTCACATCAATAAACAGGCACAAGAGTTAGTTGTATTATCTGGGGTTTGAGCTATCACATATTCAAGATGAATTACAATGGCTCAAAACTTTTCTTTTCACTAACTTAAAAGCACTTCCCTACAACTTGCATGCTCCCTGATACCAGGGAAGGTTTGTCAAGAAAATATTAAGATGCCTGACATTTCTATTGCAAGTCCATTTTGTATTGTGCAAATTGAGGGGACTTTGGAGTTTGACTCGAAGCCTTTCACTGATTTACAGGATAAATTCTGTGCGGCACTGCCATTTCCTCACCCACCAAGGTGTGCAAGAAGTGGCAATCAATAAAAGCTTTAAACACCATGATAAATCAATGCCCATTTGATTTTAAAGTTATACTATGATACCTTGCATGCAATTCACAGTTGCTGTTCATATTCCTGATAAGTTATTACCATATGTGTATTGTCCAGATAAGCTGCTTGCTATAACAGAACCTATTGTGCTGTGACAATACTACGCTTACTTTAGAAGCAAGGCAATTATCATTATCAAGCTCCGTGGAGGATAAGTGGGTGCACAAATTCTATCAACTCTGACTCAGAGAATGCAGTCTCTTTCACAAAGGTCTTTTTGATTGTGTTTAAGTACTAGCTTCCTTACACTGTGGTGTTATCCTACTCTTAATATGAATATTGCAAACATAATTTATGCAGTGCCTAACTGTGAAAAACCCAATTTGTTTTTAATTCATCTAGACACTAACAATGCGACCTCATACACGTTGCACCAAATGCTCTACTTGAAGTTCACACGGTCTTACCTTGACGAAGGACACATTTGAGGGGAACACCCCAGGCCGTGCGCTGGATGTTTCTGTTAGTGGAGGTGCAGAAAAAAAGAGCAGCTCACAGAGTGATCAGCGGGGGGTGACTCACCGTCTCCCCGCTCCATTTCCTCTGTTCTGCTGTCCTGCCTCTGGGCTCCTGCCTCATCTGTGTGACAAGAGTCACTTACAGCTTCCTCAGGGCCACTTTCTCCTTTCACAGGTTTCCCATTTTCATCCCTGCTTTTGGCTTCATTGTGCTTCTTTTCTGTGTCTGTGTGACTCTCATTTCCATTCCTCTGCTCTTGCTTTGTGCTCTTTATCTCCTGCATTGCACGCCTGGCCTCTTGGGTTTGCAGTTCAGACAGATAATGTCTGATGTTCTTACGGGCTGCATGTACCAGACCATTGTCAATATCCAGGCCCACTATGCGGGCAGGTCTTAGCATTTTGGCAATGTAGAGTGTTAGGTGGCCTGAGTTGCACCCTAAATCCAGAACGTCTTTACCTTCAAACCATTCTGGATGAAATACACGTACCCGTGGGTCTTCACTAGCGCCTGGGTTGCGATAACCATAATACTTGTTGTAGTTGCCATATTGGAATTTCTTCTTCTGTTGCCCCTTTGCCTGGCTGTTGGGCTGCTGATGCTGGCGGCCTCCTGGACCTGTTTTGGGACCACTCCTTGGTGTGTGAAAGGACTGAGAATTTCTCTGTCCTCCTGTACCAGAACTCCTGTCTCCAGACTTTCCAATGGGGGTAGAATGGATCACTGAGGGCTCCATTTTGCCAGAGTTGCGCCTACGCTTGCGTCTGCTTGTGTGCTGATTTGGTCCCCCTGATATGGAGGAAGTGGAATCATCCATAGATACAGATGTTACCTCCTCCTTGCAGCTGGCTGAGTTGTCAGCTGAATGCTCACGGGAATCCGCTGGGACACTGAATGAACTGTCAGACTCTTTGGAGACATCTAATGCAGAACCTGAGGCTAACATACTGGTACCTGGAGGCACTGTGGAGGTGCCAGTTTTAACCTCACTTTTTTCTGATTCTGAGAGGTTGATCTGTGTGGTTGAAATGCCGCTGCCACCGCCACCTCCTCCTCCACCTCCTCCTCCATGGTGTCTGTTGCGGTGCCTCTTTCTACCACCACTTTTGTACGGGGACACCAAAAAGCTGCTGTCTGCTATACCACTTTTCAGGTTCAGTGGATCTGTGATGTCTCTGGGGATGAGGATTTCCACAGGGTCTCGACTCTTTGCTGGCAGCGGGGAGGATTTGGGCGTCTCTGCATTCAGCGCCCTGTTGACATCCTCATCCAGCAGGCTGTTGAGATTCAGTGGGTCAAAAATATTCCCACCCAGGAGGAAGTTGGTAGGCAGGACGGAGTCACTCTCAGAATTGGCCCTTCGTCTCCTCTTGCCAGATGTTGGATGCTTGAAACTAAAGTTGGCTGTGTTGCGCCGCTTTGTTAGTTTTGTTTGTTGCTGTTGTTTGGAATGATGAAAGCTGCTCCTGCGATTTATGTTATTCTCGTTCCCTCTGGTTCTCTGTCCAGCTTTGTCTGAGTGGGTAAGCGTATCGGTCATGCTGGTATGTTTAGGTGAGGCTGCAGTGCCTGGGACAGGACACACAGCTGCAAAGTCTGGGGTGGCTGCTGTTCCCTCCACCATTACAGATATACTACTGTAACCACCAGTGCACTCTGAGAGCTGCAGAGATGAAGTTGTGCTGGCCTGTGGACTGCCAGTTTTTACAGTATCCTCATCAACAGACATCGTTTCCAGAGCTGATGCAGACATAGACGTTTCTCTGGATGGGAAAGCAACAGAAAAAAATGAAAACCCTTGTCATAATCTACTAAACAGTATAGTCCTTTCAAGTATGATGAACAGTGTTAATGTAAATTAGGTGCAGCCCCATTTTAAATCACACAGAACTTCAAAAGAAACACCCACAACAGCCCAAGTAAACAAACATTACTATTAGGTGCTGTTTCCAGCATTCTCAAACTTAACCCCAGGGACCTGCACTTCCAAGGGCCACCTAAAAATGAGGGCCAGTTGAAGTTGACGTCGTAGTCTCTCACTTTGTATTTGCAGATGGGGGTCTATAACGCTTTACTTTCCACCGTCTTGCCTAAAATAATGTTGCACCGAGGACAAAAATCTCACTTTTAGATGCAGAGTCTCTAGGACTACACCACTATAAGACTGGTGATGTGACATCTGAAGCCTGCCTACTCGTGGGTTACTGACCTGAAAAGTTTGGGAGTCCCTGCGTTGGACAGTTCTCTAGTTAGCAGGCTAGCTCCTAGCTTCTCTGTCGCGGGCTACAACACTGAAACGTCGAGTATACGTTCAGCTCAACTCCAGCCAGAAAGCGTTGTTAGACAAACAGTGAAGTACCCACCCGAACCTCCGAAAATAATAGCGACTCACATTAATGACAGTGATACTACCTACCAGATGGTCATCTCTTCGTGTACACTCAACAGTGTGGTCACCATGAAAATAACAGTCTCACCTCTCAGTTCTCCCCGCCTCCGGCCGGACTGTCACTGCCTTTGCCAGCACTATCTCGATTCGAGCTAACGTTAGCGTAGCTAGCACGCAAGCGTTCCTACATCGACACAACGGTGGCGAGCAACACAAACATGCGAGTAAACACAGCGCTGGTGCTCAGTGCAAGTCTATCTGCAACAAAGGCTCTTCCGCCTTCCAAACTGTCTTGTCGACTTCTTCAGTCAACTCCTAGTCGCCCAGCGTCAGGCAGGTTGGCGAATAAATGATTCCATTCGCTGATAGAGTCGGCATGGCGGCGCATCCGGGCTCCGGTCTGTAGCCCAGGAGGACTGGGGCGGGGATCTCTGACTATTGCCCGCACGATGGTGAAGCGGGCTCCGTCTGTAGGATATTGTAATGAGCCTCACTGGTCCTCCCGCTGGTAGCAACCACCAGTTATTACACCCTGTCAATTAATAAGTCATTAACTGTTCAAATAAACAACTGAGCGATAGGCTAATAAAAAACGCATATTCTGTCTGAGCGATAGTCCAAAACTTTGGATTTTCACAGTACTAAAAATTAGGAACATTGTCTTTTTAAATATTCTATTTTTTCTATCTTACTGCAGGATCTTCTTGTCTAGAGCCAGGTCCTTCTCAGGCCTTTAAACTGAGAATTTTCTTGACCTATAAAGAGTTGAAATAGTTTGTTTTTTTGTACATGTTTTCCAACAAACAAGAACATTTTACTGAAATGTTTCATAACAACTGTCATTTCTAAGTAACAGTAAATGTTATGTGCAGGAATTAAAGGATAAGGCCAGTCACTTTCTGTACATTAGTAATAGTATTTCCAATACCCCCCAGAGACTAAAACCAGCAATGAATCGCCTCTGCTCACCGTTAAAGCCTGTCAGTCCTGGATTATCTTATTTGTCTGTGCCACATATCCAGACAATTAAAAACACATCTGGGAAACACTCCACTGGGTGACATCTTTCCTCACTATGAAACACAAGATCCTAATATTTGTATTAAAAAAAAACATTGCCCCAAAGGCTCAGAATGGCCATAACGTTTTACAGCATCTGATGTCAGCAAGAGTTAACTGTGGAAGCTCGAGATCTCTGGATATTTTTAACTATGGTCTATGGCACAGATGAATAAAATAATCCAGGACTGAGAAATATCAACCATGAGCAGAGGCAGTTCATTGTTGTTATAGTGTCTGTAAGGGGAGTGTTGAAAATAGTGTTAATATAGAAAATGACCAGCCTTATCCTTTAATAAGGACCTGACAGTTTATGCCTGAATGAAGTTTGAACAGCCACAATGAAACAGATGATTTCAGCCTCTTGCAGTTAGATTAAGGCAAAATGTTTTTTAAACTTTGAACAGATGGAGGGGTGGTGTATAGGTAACATGGAGGTATACAATGTCATTGCAACTTCAAGCACATGGTACAGTAAAGTTACTCACAAAATCAGTACCAGATTTTGCATGTTGTTAAAATCAAAGACTCCTTGGTTATTGTGTTTGCGACAGCATTGCAGCCGTGGCTGCAATTCACAAACTGGCTGTTGGTGCTTTGGATTTGATGACACCTTCACACCTAACCTTAAATCCGCAGTCGTACAAGGTACCTGTCATTTCTTCCCTGACCAGTGTCTTGGATAAGCCTAAAATTAGAGCTCTGCATGTGAGTCAAAAGGAATTTTGCTGATGTATCAGGGCGGATTCTTGTTGCTTTCATCTCAACATGAATTGTAGTCATTCACCACAACACTGCAGTCACTGACAGGGTTTGACAAAGAAAGTCATTGTCAGGTCCGCTCGGCCCGACCTGCCTCTCTTTCTTTTTTTTTTTTTTTTTTTTTTTTTGGCTTTCCTATGGCATGCGGGATCAACGCCTCAGCTGTGTCGCATCGGGTAATTAGTGACTCGTGGGTCGGTGCGCACACCTGAGGCGTATTCCGGTGATTTGTTGGCTTTCTTATTTATACTTCTGGCAGACGCCCCATCGTTGCCGGGGCATTGTGACATGTAATGGACAATATTTACCCCCAAGTAAGATAAATGTTATGTTTGACCCGCATTTTTAGACGTGTGTAAGATGCCACGCTGACAGTTTCTGTGCGTTTTGGCTTGACCTTATCACGCTAATTATGCGGTTAGCAACACAGAAATACGTGCTTTGTGTTACACGCTGACAGTCTCTGTGCTGTGGATTACATTGTTTACGTTGGTTCTTTTTGTTCACCTGTCCGTTCTCATCCTCCTGCTATCCTAGTTCCTGTCGTTAGTTTGTGTGTTTACCGTCCTGGTCTCCTTAGTCATCACTGCCCTTCCCTTGTTGTATGTATTATGGACCCTGTTATGTTGTCACTTTGTTTTTATTCCATTAAACCACCTTTTTTGTACTAGCACCTGGGTCAGCCATCTTGAGTCCAACCCCAGTTCTCCCTCACCCTCCTGGTGAGGGGGACTAAACCATAACAGTGCATGTCCTAGCGCATATTCAAAGATACTATCTAAAGACTGCTAATAACATATCTGTTACACAGTAAGTTACTCAATCACCCAAACATATTTTTTAGTAGTTGCACAATAGTTAATTATGGCTGGGGCCTATTTCAAGAAGGCGGTTTTGTCGAAACTCAGAGTTGAACTGGGGTACCATGTGTACCATGTGCTTGAAGTTGCAATGACATGGTATACCTCCATGTTACCTATACACCACCCCTCCATCTGTTCACCTTTTTTGTACTAGCACCTGGGTCAGCCATCTTGAGTCCAACCCCAGTTCTCCCTCACCCTCCTGGTGAGGGGGAACTGGGGTACCATGTGTACCATGTGCTTGAAGTTGCAATGACATGGTATACCTCCATGTTACCTATACACCACCCCTCCATCTGTTCACCTTTTTTGTACTAGCACCTGGGTCAGCCATCTTGAGTCCAACCCCAGTTCTCCCTCACCCTCCTGGTGAGGGGGACTAAACCATAACAGTCATTTAGCCCTTAGGTTGAAGATAGTCAGTGGTCCTGGTTTGGGGCAGTAAACTGGGCAGTGCTACAGAGGCCAAATAAATTCTTTAGATCTTTAAAGACTTTTACTTTATTGCACTTTGACCCACCTGTCACTGGGTTGTCTTTGTGATCTGCATCTTAACCTCCTAGTGATGAGGAATGAAAGCGTTACACCTTAATGCAGGGGTTTTCAACCAGTGGTTCACAGACCTCTGGTGGAGGCGTGGCAAGTGGTCCCTGACCATGTATTCAGTAATGCAATTTCATTCTAGGATTTTTTTTAACAATGTGTTTTTAAACACATTTCCATGTATTAATTATTGTTTGTGAATAATCAAACAACAAATATAAAATAAAAAATTTAGGTGATTGGGTGATTTTCAGCCATTGGTCCTCAAGTTGGTTCTTAGTCAGAATGGTTGTCTCTGGGTTACAGTCGGTTGACAACCCCTGCCTTAATGGTATAGATACGCATCACACCAAAGTTACATGTTTTATGCAGACTTTGCTTATCCATTTACAGTATATGCGTTCTTGTAAAATGCCATATATGTTGAATAATGGTCTTATAGTGAATGAAAGAATAAGATAGGCAAACATCACAATTTCTGGAGTTCTTTGTAAATGAGCACTAAGGTGTCAAGTTTTATATGCAGTTTAGTTATGGCAGTGTATTTCTTTGGAAACACACACACAGTGATGTACTGACTATTGCAACACACACTGCACAGTTCATCTCCAATATGCCATGCTTTATAACCTAGATGGGTTTGGCTTTAAAGTATGAAATCAGGTTGGTTCACATGATGAATGCAAAATGGGTGAAACTGTTTGGGAAATGAAACATGATGTGATGACTTGTGCAGCATGTGCAATTCTGATTACCTACTTTAGTTATGCCAGCAATGTAGCCTTTCATTTTTAGTGGATATAGCTTATGGAATCTAGATAGACTAATGGTGCATAGAAAATACATTTTTGAGTATATGGTAATTTTAGCACTTTTTATTCCCAAAAAAAATTCAAAATGATCTAAATCCCCTCTTATTGTAAAAATGTCACTAATGCACCCCAACTCAAAGTATGAAACTGAATAGATAATCCATTTTTCTTTTAAGTAATGTGCACAGGACTTGCTCCTCTGTTTCCTGCACTTATCCCTTAAAGTAGATCTCAGAGGAAGGGAAGAAGGAATGAGCAGACATTCCCCTTCACTTTGCAATTAAGTAATTAGGTTTTCTCAATATTCTTTAGTCCACGAGGGACAAAGTAATTACGTAAAGAGATATTGTGCTGAAGGTGGTCAGTATCAGGATGACATCTGGACTTAATGGAGATACTAGCTGTTAAACAAGTAGCCACTAGGGGGAGACAAAATATGAGTATAACAGTATGCTGTATGTATACCTATAGTCATACACCAGTATTTCAGTTCTCTCTCTCTCTCCCTCTTTCTTTTTAGTCCAAGTCTTTTAAATCATACTATATAGTATGCAATGTATTACTGCAAATAAAAATGTAAAATGCTGCAGTTCAACTTCCTCAGTAAGTAGGTTTATTTTGTGATAAAAAGGTAGAGAAAAACCTTTTTTAGAAGCCTTACAGTCTTGAGATGTTCCCACATTGTGGTTGGTATGATTAATGAGTTAAAACAACAGAGAAACCTCATTTCACCCAAAGAGAGGCTCAGCACTACAATTCTGCAGCTGTGACAACAGGAGTGTTTATGTTTTAGGTAATACAAGCCTCCAGTGGATAGAAAGGAAAACAGTACCAGCCCTCAAGGATTCATGTAAGGCTTTGATTTGTAAAGCTAATGGAATGTGAAAGATATTTTTATGCAGCTTCTTTGTTAATATTACAGGCTAGGATTATTTGGCACACCAACTTTCTCCAAATGATCAGGGGTTTGATGATGACTGTAAAATGAGAAATAGCTTTACCAGGTCCAGGAACATTCAGGGAAGTTTTTTTTTATAGTGGCTGCAACATATTTTTTTTATAACATAGTTAAAAGGTACTGTAGTATCTTTTATTTTAGCTCATGTGCACTAAACACCATGTTGTTATGACCAGCTGCAGATTCCTCTTTCTGGGAATTCTGAGATTTATACAGATCAAAATACATTGTACTGACTTAACCACCTGCTCGTATTTAAACTTAAGGGTATACATATTTTATAAACCTGTTGACTCAAATATGACAGTAATCCTATCAATACTATACAACTCTTAGGAACAGTATAGTCATTCATCAAAATACACTATAATTAAAGCCTTGAATGTTGTATTACAGTGGTAATCTCAGGTCAGTTTTTCTCAGAGGCTTATATGGCACAAGCAAAATTAAAAATTCTAAATAAAACATGATCTGGAACTCTTAAAAACTGTATTT